TTATTCTTAAATGTGTTGTGATTAAGAAATATATTTTGGTTGGGGGGGGGGGGGCTTTAGTATATTTAGTTTTGGGGATGCATTGGTATAACCTTATTTCTAGGTTTAATAGAGTCAACTCAATCTGTAAAATAGCCTCTAGATAAGGGTGAAACACATTTCTGGGTGCTGAGACATTGTGGATGAGAGAATTTGAAATGACGTATCAAAGATACGTGACTCGCGCACATTTTAGCTGACATTTGAAAGTACCAGAAATATTCAAATTAATATGATTCTTAATAATAATTCAAGAAGCATTGTGTATTGTTGTTGATATTTTGATGTATTTTGTTATAGTCGGTCGGTCTAGATTTTTATAACACAGTATCAGGATTATAATTATCACACAGAACTGAGCTAATGTAGGACATTCTTATATATAATCCCACAATATTTTCTCTTACTTATTCCTCTCCTGTGACACGGATTGATACGACTCTGGTGGTAATTACGTCATCCTAAGAGACAGTATTGTTTGATTATTTATTTATTTATTTATCACATGTACATTTCAACAGTGAAATAGCAGAGTATGGACAGTGGAACTATAACACTGAATACAAATACATGTATATCTGATGCTGATATTCTGATCAGTATTACATCACACTGTGAATCATATTACTTGATTGCTATATGTTAATCTTTGTCTTTGAGTAACTTAAATGCTGTCATTTTTTTTTTCAAGCAGTGTCTACGAACATTGGTTGGTCATACTGGAGGTGTTTGGTCCTCACAGATGTCTAATAATATTATAATCAGTGGCTCAACAGATAGGACATTAAAAGTATGGAATGCAGATACCGGCCAATGTATACATACCTTATATGGACATACATCAACTGTCAGATGTATGTGTCTCCATGGCAATAAGTAAGTTGTTTTATTTCACCATTTTTAGCTCCGCTGTCGACTTTGTCGAGCAGAGCTTATCATACGAGTGTTTGTTTGTCATCCGTGTCAACGTTTTACTTTTTCGACTTCTTCTTGAAAACTACAAGCCTGAATGCTTTGATACTTGGTGTATATGTACCTTGGGTAGACCTCATACATGTATTTCATGATGATATCTTCAATTCTCTAATTTTGGTGAATATTTTTGTCATTTTTGGTAAAAAGTGATATTTTTAGCTTCGCTGTCGACTTTGTCGAGCGGAGCTTATCATATGAGTGATTGAGTGATTACATATATAGGTACTACATGTGGACCTCTCTCAGATTTGTTCATTTTGTAATGATATCTTTAATTCTTTAATTTTGGTGAATATTTTTGTCATTTTTGGTAAAAAGTGATATTTACGACTTCTTGTTAAAAACCAATAGTTCAATTGCTTTGATATTACATATATAGATACTACATGTAGACCTTTCTCAGATTTGTTCATTTTGTGATGATATCTCTAATTTTGGTGAATATTTTTGTCATTTTTGGTAAAAAGTGATATTTTCGACTTCTTGTTGAAAACCGCAAGTCCGATTGCTTTGA